TGACGGGCACAGTGGCTCACACCTGTAATCCCAGCACTTTGGGAGGCTAAGGCAGGCACATCACCTGAGTTCGAGAGTTCGATACCAGCCTGACTAACATGGAGAAACCCCATCTCTACTAAAAATACAAAATTAGCTGGGTGTGGTGGCACATGCCTGTAATCCCAGCTACTCAGGAGGCTGTGGTAGGAGAATCACTTGAACCTGGGAGGCGGAGGTTGCAGTGAGCCGAGATCATGCCATTGCACTCCAGCCTGAGCAATGAGAATGAAACTCCTTCTCAAAAATAAAAAAGGAAAATGTAATGGTCTTTACCATGAATATGGTAGAACCACATCTTGTAAGCAAAGTCTGGGTAGACTTAACAATGCTAATGTATGATGATAGTGCTGATTACTTCCTTGTGTTAAGGACCAAGTAAGTACCTGAAGTCAGGATTTTACTAGGACATGTGTGCACAAAACATTTTTTTTTTGTTTTTAATACAAGACACATAATTTTACAATAATTACATATCTTAAAGAAGAAAAAAATTCAAGGAAAATAATTTTTAAAATTGATTATTCCAGCATGATCAGTTGCATATTATTATCTTTTCATTTATAAATTATGTTGTTTTTATTTCAAATTTAAGTACTACTGAAATGATGTTTTCTCTGAAATGTAATTAACAGTTTTTAAACTGTTTTTAATCTTTATTTGTAAACAAAATTTTTATTTTTATAATTTAGTAGCAACTGCCAAGGAACAAAATGCAATATCATATATACATATGTTTTTATCTACTATATTATTTCCATGACATCACAAGACCAGTACTGGAAGATACTAGCGGTACCTTAACAAACAAACACACAAACAAACAAAAACAAACTATGGACCCAAGATGTAAATCAAGGTAATCACAGCAAGTACACTTATGGAGAAACTCAAGGAAACACCAACTTTTGCAGATAATTCAAAAAGCCCAAGATGTAAGAAAGGGTCCCAAGGCAAGGTGTTCTTAATGAAAACTCTAAGCAGAAATTTTCAGCCTAGAGCTGTGTTTTATATGGGTTCTTTTCACAGGACAAGCAAATCGAGCAGTACAGCAGAGTCAGCTTGAATGGCTTTGAATTCTGGCTTTATTACCTACTTATGACGCAGGGCAATAACTTATTCTAGGTTTAAGTTTTTTTATTTCTGAAACTTTTTTTTTTGATAGAGTCTCACTCAGCCACCCAGGTTGGAGCCCAGTGGTGTGATCTTGGCTCACTGCAACCACCGTCTCCCAGGTTCAAGTGATTCCCCCATCTCAGCCTCCCAAGTAGATGGGATTACAGGGACCTGCCATCATGCCCCGCTAATTTTTGTATTTTAGTAGTGAGGGAGTTTCACCGTGTTGGCCAGCCTTGTCTTAAACTCCTGACCTCAGGTGATCTGCCTGCCTTGGCCCCCTAAAGTGCTAGGATTACAGGTGTGAGCCACCATGCCCAGCCACATATTGATTATTGATACTACAATGGGATAAGTACTCATCACAGTACATGTATCTAGTTATTGTACTCAAAAAATCTCAGCTGTCTACCCCTGGATGTTTGTTACAGAAAACCAAGACCATATTTTTTTTTAGGAGATTGAAGATAACACTGCCAATTAGGAGGGTTTTTGAGGATCAGCTTGAGTCCTCAAGCACTTTACACATCTAAGAATCTAAAATAATGATTCTCCAATTTTAGCACGCATGAGTCACCTGGAGAATATGATAAATAAGAGAGCCTGCTGGGCCTCACCCTTAGAGTTTCCGATTCAGTAGGTCTTGGGTGGAGTCTGAGAATTTGCATTTCTAACAAGTCCCAGGTTTTCTTAAAAAAAAAAAAAGGGTTTTTTTTGTAGAGACAGGGATCTTGCTATGTTGACCAGGCTGGTCTAAAACTTCTCGGCTTAAGCAATCCTCCTGCCTTGCCTCCCAAAATGCTGGAATTACAGGCATGAGCCACCATATCCTGCTGCTTCAGTTACCTTTGTAAACAGTTAACTGTGGTCAAGTTCAGATCACCTTTCTCGCTCTATTCTGAGTATGCCATAAAGATGGGCTCATTACTCTCAAGGTAGGTTTTAACTAATGTGTCTTTTTTAGCTTTCATCTTATCAAATGGGAAGTTTAGAGCAATTAAATGCGATACCCTTTTAACAAAGCCTGTGGCCATTCCTAGTTTGTTTGTTTTCTTAATTTAATAACACCTCTTTAAGGACGGGCATGGTGGCTCACGCCTGTAATCCTAGCACTTTGTGAGGTTGAGGGTGGATCACCTGAGGTCAGAAGTTCAAAACCAAACTGACCAACTTGGAGAAACCCCATCTCTACTAAAAATACAAAAAAAAATTTAGCTGGGCATGGTGTTGCATACCTGCAAGCTACTTGTGAGGCTGAGGCAGGAGAATCACGTGAACCCGGGAGACGGAGGCTGCGATGAGCTGAGATCGCTATTGCACTCCAGCCTGGGCAACAAGAGTGAAACTCCGTCTCAAAAAACAAAACAAAACATACAGTTTTAAGTTGTGGTAAAATACACAGAACATGAAGTTTACCACCTTCACCATTTTTAGTGGGTGTACAGTTCCGTGGTATTAACTACATTCATATTACTGTGCAAGCATTACTGCCATCCACTTTCAGAATTCCTTTCACCTTGCAGACAACATTCCTAGGATTTGACCAACATATTACGAGAGAGGATTTCCAATATTTTTCTCAGGTACACAAGCCTCTTGTTTACTTCTATAACAATTTTATCCCCTATTAGGAAACAATGTTGACATCGTAGGATTTTACTTCTTTGAGAAGTTGAAAAATGAAATTCAATTAAGATAAATAAAATTTGTTTTCATAGAGACGGACTTGATGAATAATCAAAGAAATTCAACAGAAATAAAATAAAGCTATGTTCTTAGTGTTTCTTAAAATCAAATTCTAAATGAAGTAAGCAGCATTTAAAAAGTAATGCCCAATATTTCACTTGTGAGGAAAGTTGGTGTTATAAGTAGTACTCTCTGATTGGAGCATTGTGCAGAAATAATCCGTACATTGTGGAAATCGTTCTGAAAGAAAGACGAACATCATGAAGAGTTTTTGAAAGGAAGACTTACATGGAAAAAGATTAGATTTCCTTAACCTTATAGTGACATCATAGAAAGCTAATTGAAACAAATCAAGTACCCATTTAGTTCTAAAATAAACAAATTAAGTAGTCCATTGAGTTCTAAAATTTTTTTTTGCAATTGTAAAAGTCACTTAGAGTTTTTGATGCCTTCTTTATAAATATTGTTATATTTAATTACAAATGTTAAGCATAAAATATCTCGTAAGCTTATAAATGTTTCATAAAATTTCAATAATGTTTCAAGAACACAGAACAATTAAAAAGCCCACAGACTCAAGTAGTCACCACTCTCATATTACCAGATGTGAACATTTTGTCATATTAACTATAGAAGTATAAAAAGTGTTACATTCACATTTCTTGGTGGGGGCTACTGTTGAAGAGGGAGGGAGCAAAAAACTACAGCAGGTTAGGACTTTCATCACCTGGGAGTTTATACCCTTTGTTATAAGCCCTGGGTATTTCAGTCTCTCCTTGCCCCAGATCTTGAGAAGAGGGGATCCGTTCTTAATATATCCAAAATGTAACATGGCCTCCAGGCATTCAGGTCCAAACAACACTGAGACAGGGGTTGCTACTTAACCTAGCTCATGGCTTAAGTTGAGGGGAGGAATTTAAAAATCAACTGAGAACAGGAATGAAGGTGAACTCAGGGCAGGGAGAACTGCTTACCCAGGGGACTACAGATCCTTAGAACAGAGCAAGTCAAATTCAGTACATTCCAATGGCACTCTTTTTTGGATCACTTTCCAATCTTCTTTCTTCTTGATTGACTCATCTTTTACTCAACCAAAGGCAGAGATAATGTAGATCGTTGCACGCTAATCTGAAGTTATTACCTGAACTGGTTATTATTCTGGTCAGCCCGAATTGTATGGATTGCCAAGTCATTTGACTGTCATTCTAGAAAAAGTGTTCAGTTCAAATCGGACAGGGTTTAGGAATTCAGTGAGTTTAACAACTCACTTTATTTAGCAATATGCTAAATTTTTTTTTTTTTGAGACAGAGTGTCTCTTTCTCTCTGTGACACCTGAAATGGCACAATCTCAGCTCACTGCAACCTCCGCTTCCTGGGTTCAAGCAATTCTCCTACCTCAGCCTCCCGGGTAGCTGAGACTACAGGAGCATGGCAGCATGCCCAGCTAATTTTTGTATTTTTAGTAGAGATGGAGTTTGACCATATTGGCCATACTGGTTTCGAACTCCTGACCTCAAGTGATCCACCCACCTCGGCCTCCCAAAGTGCTGGGATTACAGGTGTGAGCCACCGCACCTGGCCCAATATGCTGATCTTTAACCTAGAAATAAACTTGTTTCATATATACTGATGTGTTCGGTACAGATAAAGCTCCTGTGCAAAGAGACTTTCCAAAAAATACAGAGGGGCAAATAGGAAAAAAGTTTAGGAAACTAAACTTTAGGAAAATGTATAGAAAATAGGAAAAAAGATTCTGCTACTTTTCTTTGTTTCTTTCTTTGTTTCTTTCTCTTTCTTTCTCTCTCTCTACTTCCTTCCTTTTTTTCTTTTTTCTTTCACTGTTTGCAGAACTCACAGTCTAATACACGATGTCTTTAGGAAGCTGGGTTCCTTGTTGCTCCCCAATTCCATAGAGTGTTGACTTTATCTGTATGGTGGAGGCTGCCTTGGCAGCTCCATGGCCATGATTTTCTATTAAAAACCTTGACTTGGTAATTTGCATGCATTAGTTTTGCCTACATAACATTAGCTGAGCAACCCTCAAGAAATGTTGATTCGGCCATGTGCCCTAATAAAACTAGAGTTTTACTTTAAAAAGAAAAAGGCAGGCCGGGCGCGGTGGCTCACGCCTGTAATCCCAGCACTTTGGGAGGCCGAGGAGAGTGGATCACAAGGTCAACAGATTGAGACCATCCTGGTCAACATGGTGAAACCCCATCCCTACTAAAAATACAAAAAATTAGCTGGGCATGGTGGCGCGTGCCTGTAATCCCAGCTACTCAGGAGGCTGAGGCAGGAGAAATGCCTGAACCCAGGAGGTGGAGGTTGCGGTGAGCCGAGATCGCGCCATTGCACTCCACCCTCAGTAACAAGAGTGAAACTCCATCTCAAAAAAAAAAAAAGAAAAAGAAAAAGGCAAGCCTAAGTACAGAAGGGCAATTAATGGCTTTTGCCATAAGTGCTGGCCAGCTTCACTGGGCAGATAGGCTTGAACCATGGCATAAGATCTAAGGTTACAGTTAAGGAGAGGTGTAAGAAATGATGAGTGGAGGGTGGGATGCATTCGGTGACTTGTATGCACACCCCGGAATCTGGATTTACAATCTCAAAACCAAGGGAGGCCATCATTCATAATAAACAGATAGTGGAATCAGGTAGCTAAATATTCTGATGAAGATGAGCTGATCTTTCACTGAGCCAATGGTAAGTTTGCAGAAAAGGCTAGATTCAATTAATGATTTTTTTAAAAGTGAGATGAGACATACCTGATTCAAACCAATCTCAAAAAAATAATCAGTGAAAGGTAACAAGAATTTCAGCTACATGAGATTAATCAGCAGGATTTGAATTACAAGTAATACTATTCCACAAAGAGCCAAAAACCCCCACAGATTTTAATCTACCACTGTCACGGGGAGAGAGCTAGTGTTTAGGCCTCTGGCTTAGTATATGTTAGCACAGGAGAGAATGTGCAGGCAGTCACAGTTTCCTTTAGTGTGCCTGCTGCAACACTATTGCACAACATTAGGGGCAGGCTGATGTACAGTTGGTCAGTACTAGGACAGCCAGACTCCGTGCTTACAGCCAGTGTCCATCCTTGTTGGCTGACAGCCATGCCTCGTCAGTCAGCGCCATCATCCAGGGTACTAAACATTGTCAACATTACTCCAGCTTCCAGGGGCTATTCAGAATGTTTTTGAGAGATGCCCGGACCATAAATGGCCAAGGGAAGATTCCTAAGAAAAAAACTAGTAGCTTCTTCCTAAGATGCAAAACTCGACCATTGGGATGGATACAAAGAAGAAAGAAAGAGACAACACCCAGATTTATTTGTCAACCCCTGTTTGAGAGAAGTGTGAAAGGTCTGCAGAAAGCATACATTCTGCCATTTTGGATTTATATCCTATCCAGGATTTACTGGCCTTCCTGGAATTTTGGTGAAAAATTCCAAATTTCCCATATATTCCAAATGTAAAATATCGACTTTGCTTTCAGAGTGCCAAATACTGATACAGGTTACAAAGGAAGTTATGAACTTCCTACACTGGAGGAATTTTAAAGTAGGATTTCCTTTGCTAGAATGGCAGGGAGAAGAATGTGTAAGAAGAGTGATGGAGTAAGGTATCTATCCATTTGGTTTAGCCTTTTAAATAATTACTTTGCACAGAGAAAATGAGATCAGGAAGAAAGGCCAATATAGCCTGATAAATTGGTGGGTAGTAAAGTGCATTGGGACTTGGACATTTTTTGAAAAGTTGCCTTTGTGTCAGATACCAGGTATCACATAAAAGAAGAAATCCAGCAGTGTTTGTCTTTTATAGTGAAAGTAAAGTATGAAGGTTAAAAGCATAGACCCTGGAGCCAGACTTGGCCTGGGTTTGGATGCCAGTTCTGCTACTGAGTAGCTGTGTGACTATGGATCAATTACTTAAACTTTGTGCCTCGGCTTTATCATCTGCAAAATCAAATAACATGGTTTCCCTCATAAGGTTACTATGGAGATTAACAACAGATATAATGGCTGGCTTATAGTAAACCATGTTAGCTCTGATATTTTTAATATGCTCTTAGTCCTAATCCATTTGCTCCTACAGCAGTTTTCTTTTCTGTTCTCCATTCACTTGGCATCTGACCTTATCAATAATTTTTCCTTTTTTTTTTTTAAATTTTCTTTACTGGGTTATTTGGTATTGTGGGCTATCTGCCTGACTTCCTCTCACTGACATTCAGGCATATCCTCTTCCATTGTCTCAACCCACCCATTGCAAAACATACTACTCTTATGGCACAATTTCATTCCCCCAGTGTTCCATGACATGAACTTAACTTCAGCCTTGAGAGAATATTTATAGGGTTCTTTTGCTATTTGAAGAAATAAACTCTTAGATGGTATGAAACAGATAATGCTATGGGTTCACCAAATTTGACTTCATTTTCCTCTTTTGGGGCACACAGGATAGCTACATATTTCACCTTCTGTTGCATTTAGGTTGGGTCCAGATGATTGAGTCTGGATCCTGGTGTTTTGGTGGAAGTGATGTGTTGTACTTTCTGGACTTGGGCAATCTGGACTGATTGCCCAAGCTGTTTTCCCTTGTCATGAATGCCTGAGAGACCTCACGTTTAGGAAGGTAGCATTATTAGTCTGATATGGGATTGTATCCCTGCATCACTTCCTGGGGGAAAGCTACCAAAGACAATTGCCTGTGTTGCACTGGACTGGGAAGTGAGTCACGAATAAATCTTTACTCTGTGCACCCTGTGAGACATTGATGTTTATATGTTGCTGCATTTCCCTGATTAATTTACATGATACAGAATAAAAAATTGTGGATAGAACGTAAGTCTATAGTAAGAGTATTATAGCGAAGTTTGAATATATTTAGACCAGGAAACTATTACTGAACATGGAGTGTCAAGTAGCTGAGCAGCGTGTTGTAGAGAAAAGAATATGGACAGTAGAATCCCACAGAACCAGATTCAAATTCTGCTCCAAATGTATATAAGCTTTGACTTTCATATGTTCTTTCTCTAGAATCCAAATAATTTCTAATAATATTCTTGGAGAAGTCAACTAAGACCCATTAGCTAAACTCTTCCAACTCCTTGCACTTCCCAGTACCCTAATACAGCTAATCCAGTGTTTAATTTCCAATCCAGATTCTACATTCTCAACCACTTTTTAGAAATTTTACTTCATAGGCGCATGGAACTAAAGTCTTGAAAATGAAGGGTAGCAATTTGGTCCAGAAAAAGTACCCATATCCTTAATTTGTGGCCAAATGAGAGAAAATCATTATAAAATTTTATGTGTTGAAAATAGTACTTAGTAGAGAACAATTTTCCCTTTATTTAGTGCATTATTCAGGAAGTTCCGAAGTTAAAAAGCCTATGCCATGCACCTCAGCACAATTTTGAAAATATTATATTTAATTAAAATCGGAATTTCTGAAATGATTACTATAGCATTTATCTTTCAAAACCTCACATACAGTTTTTGACCTATAAAATATTTATGAGTTAATTTGCCTTTTCCCTATGTTATGCACACACGAGCAGCTAAGACCTTGAAATTTCCTTTAATACAAGCTGCCCTTTTAAAAAGTTGTGGTTTTAAGTAGGATATTTCCTCAGTAGTATGTATGGAACAAACATCTCCATACTCAGTTTTACTTACCCAGCCAGGAAGAGAAAGGGAGAAAGAGAAGAAACCTGTAATATCATCTTAGCAAAAGGAATAATCTCCATTTTAAATTATTGAGGGTGAGCCACTGGCAGAAACTGCCAGCAAGGTTAGAGATACCTAGCGACCACTTAATTGTCAACTTCACTGTTTACACACTTACACACAGTCACTTTCACCACAATATAAATACAGACTTCAAAGGCACACCTGCTAAAGCTGCCATTGTTACTTGCTGTTTAATATTTAAACAAAGTATTTAGAATTTATGGCATATACTTGGTAGCTTTTTAAATTTAAAAAAACAGGCTAATAACAGATAAATGTACTTAGCTGCAAACATTTCACATTAGACACACAGAAAAAGAGAATTAACAATTCACCAGGTATTGCATTGTATTGTAACTTTAGTTGTTTTATTCTACATTGCTCAGTAATATTTTTGAAAGGTCAATACTGGAAACAACTAAGCTCTCTGTGGCATAGCTTTCCTTTTATAAAATTAGCAAACTTTTCATTCAATTATCAAATAGATGTCCCTAAAAATTGATAAAGTAGCAATGTGATCTTTCAGTACTTTTTGCCTTTCTGATGTTTGCTCACCATTCCTTCTTTTCTTTTCTCTTTCTTATCATCATCCCAACCTGTAATATCCCTAAGGCTCTATTCCAATACCTCTACTTCTCCAGTACTCCCACAGACCCTCTTCCCTGGTAATATGGAGTTGCATTTTACATAGAGTTTGGTTCTAAAATCATTAGGCGAGGTACATACAAATTCAGGAATACCCTGGGGAAAAAAATTCCTTCATTCACCCTTAAATATAATATACGTGGCCGTTTTTATGCGTCAAGTTTGAGGCCTCTATACCATCCAACTCAGCCAGTTTTTCCTCCAGCATTGGAACAGATTGCTGTTTTCTCCGCTAAACACCTGATAAAGTAGTTGGCTTGCATTTGGGGGCCATGTTGTACAAGAAAAAACAATGTATCTTTAAACACTTGAATCACACTCAGCATGGTGAGATGCTCATACTATGAGAGCAATTCAGGAACTGAGACCAACTGAAGGAACATGAGATTCACATCTCCCTTTTTGCGCTCCTCTGGGGCATATGCTTTAGTGGAACGTGGGACAGAATCACCCACACTATTTACATTCTCCTCTTTCTCTCTTTCTCTTCCTGGCAGAGTAAGTATAATCGAGTATGGACAAAAACTTTATTCTATATGTATTGAGGAAATATGCCATTTAAAACCATAACTTAGAAGGGCAGCTCATGTTAGAGGAAATTTTAGGGTCTCAGTTGTCATTGTGTGCTGTGACAGGAATCTCCTTTGATAAAATGGAGTGAACGCTTCATAGGTTGAAATCATACAATGGTGAAGAAGACTGCATATCTGCAAGTATGGAGTATGGAGAGAACTGATTTGCTCTATATCATGGTTTTGCAGCCTTGGATCCGTTGACATTTTTGATCAGATAGTCCCTTATTGTGGCTGGCTGTCCTGTGCATTGTAGGATGTTAAGCAGCATACCCAGCCTCAACTCACTAGTTGCTTGTAGTAATCTCCCCAAAGTATGGCAACCAAAAATGTCTCCGGACATTGCTGAATCACCCCTTGTCAGTGTGTGTCAAGGGCAGAGGGAGGTATCACCCATGATTGAAAAACACTTCTCATTATAATAGAGTGAAGAGTTTGAAAGTTTTCAGGAGAAATTCTAAATGGGAGACATGAAAAGGGGATATGGAGTGGGAGTTGGAGCAAGACTGGGCACTGTGTTAGGTGAAGGGGCCTTTGAAAATCCTTTAGTCATGGGATGATTGGAGGCTTATATAATATATATGTCTAGGCTGGGAGCAGTGGCTCACTCTTATAATCCCAGCACTTTGGAAGGCCAAGGTGGGCAGATCACTTAAGGTTGGGAGTTCAAGACCAGCCTGGGCAACACAGCAAAACCCCATCTCTATTACAAACAGAAAAATTAGCTGTGTGTGGTGGTGCTTGCCTGTAGACTCAGCTACTAGGGAGGCAAGAATTGCTTGAACTGAGAGGTGGAAGTTGCCATGAGCCACGATGGCATGACTGCACTCCAGACTGGGTGACAGAATAAGACTCTGTCTTTGTATATATATGTCTAAAATCTGATTTGAAACTATTTTCTTTTTTTTTTTTTGAGATGGAGTTTCACTCTTGTTACCCAGGCTGGAGTGCAATGGTGCGATCTCAGCTCACCGCAACCTCCGCCTCCTGGGTTCAGGGAATTCTCCTGCCTTAGCCTCCTGAGTAGCTGGGATTATAGGCACACGCCACCATGCCCAGCTAATTTTTTGTATTTTTAGTAGAGACGGGGTTTCACCATATTGACCAGGATGGTCTTGATCTCTTGACCTCATGATCCACCCGCCTCGGCCTCCCAAAGTGCTGGGATTATAGGCTTGAGCCACTGCGCCTGGCCACTATTTTCTGTTATATGAACCCCTTTCCATTTCTCAAACCTCCAGTCAAGTCTATTGTAAATACCAACATCATATGTGAACAACTAACTTATGGCCATTAAGGAAGAGAATGAGTCCCCCATCTGAGCTAACATGATGTGGAATAAGGACCCACATGGAAAATTTACTTAATTCAGAAGAAATGGCATCTTGGAACCAACTACAATCAACAAGGGTGACACAAAAGCCTTGAATTTCCATGATGCATGGATTATAGGTTTGAACACATTTCTTTTTTGAGACAGTGTCTCACTCTGTTGCCAAGCTGGAGTGCAGTGGTGCGATCTCAGCTCACTGCAACCTCTGCCTCCTGGATTCAAGCCATTTCCCTGCCTCAGCTTTGCGAATAGCTAGGACTACAGGTGCACACCATGACACCCGTCTCCTGGCTAATTTCTGTATTTTTAGTAGAGACAGGATTTCACCATGTTGTCCAGGATGGTCTTGAACTCCTGACCTCAGGTGAACCAACTGCCTCAGCCTCCCAAAGTGCTGGGATTACAGGCCTGAGTCATCGCGCCTGGCCAGGTTTAAACACTCTTATCTAGATCTTTGAAGTATGGGAGGTTCTCAGTGACACCATGAGTGGTTTCATGACTCCATGACTTGTGGGTTCTATAGACCGTGGTTCCCAAGCCCCTGGCCAGGGACTGATACCAGTCATGGCCTGTTAGGAACCAGGCCGCATAGCAGGAGGTAGGCAGCGGAGGAGCCAGCATTACTGTCTGAGCTCCACCTCCTGCCAGATCACCGGTAGCATTAGATTCTCACAGGAGCACAAAAGCTATTGTGAACTGTGTATGTAATGGATCCAGGTTGTGTTCTTATGAGAATGATCCTAATGCCTGATAATCTGAGGTGGAACAGTTCCATCCCGAAACCATCCTCCTACCCCAAAAAAACCATCTTCAACGAAACCAATCTCTGGTGCCAAAAAGGTTAGGGACCACTGCCGTAGACCACACAGAGCTACCACCAACTCCTGCAAGGGTTAATGTGGGAGGAAAAGAAGATTCTCTTCTCCTCTACCCATGTCTGTCTTGGGATTAGGATTGGAATTTCTTCCAGAAATGGGAAGTGATCTCATTGTGAGGATGATCTTTACCTTGTAACATGAATCTTCCCCAAGATGCTGCTAATTTTCCTGCTCCTCACCCTCAACATCTTGCAGTCTCTTTGACGTCTTCAGCTTAGTTCCTCCTCTATTACCCTGTAAACAACGTCCCATAAAGTTTTGTATAAAAAAATTTAGAACCGTCGCTCTGTCACGCCGCCTGGCCACAGGTATGGCAGGATTCCACTTCTCTTGGCCCACTTCCCTTTTAGTCCCAGATTTATCCTGTCAAATATGAACTGTTTTCTGAACACATTCTACTCTTGATCACTCCTATGCTACTGGCTCAAGCTGTCCCTCTGTATAGAGAGCCTTTCATTGCCATATCTTCAGGTCTTAATTTGATCTATTTGATCTATTCTATTCTACTCTAAAATATTGATCCAGTGATACTATTTCATATAGTAAAGCAAACTCTGAACTCACAGAATTTTATTTATGCCTCCTTAATGGCATTATCACTTTTCTCCATTGTAACAGCTATTTGTGTACATAGTGTACACAGATAGCTCCTAGACTCAGAGCTGTTTGAAAACAAGAACTATGTCTTAATAATTGGTTCATAACAGCTGTTATGTAGTTGATTTTAATATTTTCCTTTTTCCTCAAAAGAATTTAAGGTGGCTTAAAAGAAGACACAAAATGTTGGCTAATGACTTAAATTAGAAAAAAAGTAAGGGAAAAATAAGGAAGATATAATAGAAACTTAAGAATAGTAGGTTGTCAGCTGGGTATGCTGTGGCTCATGCCTGTAATTCCAGCACTTTGGGAGGGAGTGGTGGGAAGATTGCTTAATGCCAGGAGTTCAAGACCAGCCTCAGTAACAGCAAAACCTCATCTCTTAAAAAAAATAAAAAAATTAGCTGGGCATGGTGGTGCATGCTTGTAGTCCTAACTACTAGGGAGGCTGAGGCGGGAGGATCACTTGATTTCAGGAGTTTGAGGCTGCAGTGGGCTATGATTGTGCCACTGCATGCCAGCATGGGTGGCAGAGTAATACCTTATCTCTAAAAGAGGGAGAGAGAATAGTAGATTGTAAACAAAAAACACTTACTGAAGAATAAATAAATTTTCCTTATCTAAATCTTGTCAGTGGGTCCAGTCTTAGAAACAAACTGTGATTGCTTCCTCATTCATAACTCTTCCCCCAGTAGTGATGTCTGGATTGAGGAAGGGAAAACACAGGGAATAAAGAAGTGACGTGAGGCATTTTTTCATTCTCTGTTTTCTCCCTTCTCCAGACTGGTCATGCTTTATTTATTACGTGGTCTGTTAGGAACTGCTGTCTTTTTCCATGAACTTACCTTCCTGAACACCGTGAGGCTTCTAGGAATGGGCACTTGGTTCAAGCAAGCCAAATAGAATCCTTCTCTTGAGTTTTTGGAGCTGAAGAAAGAGGCAAAGGCCTTTTCTCCATGGATAATGAGCCAGAAATTTGCTGAATCACTTCAGCCCCTGGGTAGAGAAAGCACATTTTCAGGAGAAGAATTTAAATACAATCTATACAAAGAAGCAGAGATCAGAAAGAGACAATTCTGATAGTATTTGGACCCCTGGTTCTTTTTTCCGCGACCACTCCCAAAGCTTCCTCGCTTTCCAAAGCATATTTCTTAGAGCTTCTTCTGGTTCTTCTTGGATGAAATCCAAGCTCTTGAGTCTGACAGTCTGGCATTTCTAGCACCAGTCAGCCTTATCTTGCTTCTAGCTTCCCAGTCGAGAGTTGCCTTCTCCCAGAGGCCATGCTCATTTTCGGTTGTGCAGTTTTCTTGAATGACCTTTTGCCTCCTCTCTCTATAATACTAATTCTTGCCTCTCTTCAGGGTCTAGTTCAACATTTATCTGCTTTACTGAACCCTTCTTGATTGATCTTTTCCTTTTCTGAACTACCGTACCCCTTGTATTCCCAGCTTTTCTATATTGTCTGAAACAGATTTATCTTTCTGCCTTGTTTTCCTGTGTATTTTGTGTGTAAGTTTGTGTGTGTGTGTGTGTGTGTGTGTGTATTTATTTACTTACAAAGTTGTTAGTTCCTTGATTTGTTTGGACATGACCCTTTAGGGTGAGGAGTAGAGGAGAATTGAACTGATCCACATAAAAAAGAGAGCAGAGGTCAGCAAAGCCTAAGTCCTCTCCTCTCGCTATCCTCTGGAGAATGGGACAGTATGAGCTTCACCAATCACTCTACTTTCTCCACCAACTACCAAGCCCTGGGCTCTGTCCAGGCGTCCTCCTAAAGCATCTGGCTGGTCAGCAGAATGGCCACCATCTCTGCAGGTGCTGGGGGCTCTGGTTCCCGCATCTCCGTGTCTTGCTTCACCAGCTTCTGGGGTGGCATGGGGTCCAAGTGCCTGGCTGCAGGGATGGCCAGGACTCTGGCAGGAATGGGAGGCATCCAGAACGAGAAGGAGACCATACAAAGCCTGAGTGACTGTCTGGCCTCCTACCTGGCCAGAGTGAGGAGCCTGGAGACCAAGAACTGGAAGCTGGAGAGCAAAATATGGGAGCACCTGGAGAAGAAGGGACCCCAGGTCGGAGACTGGAGCCATTACTTCAAGACTATCGAGGACCTGAGGGCTCAGATCTTCACAAATACTGTGGACAATGCCCACATTGTTCTGCAGATCGACAATGCTTATCTTGCTGCTGATGACTTTAGAGTCAGGTATGAGACAGAGCTGGTCATGTGTCAGTCTGTGAAGAGCAACATCCATGGGCTCCACAAGGTCATTGATGACACCAATGTCACTCAGCTGCAGCTGGAGACAGATATCGAGGCTCTCAAGGAGGAGCTGCTGCTCTTAATAAAGAAGAACCATCAAGAGGAAGTAAAGGGCCTACAAGCTCAGATTGCCAGTTCTGGGTTGGCTGTGGAGGTAGATGCCCTCAATTCTCAGGACCTTCCTAAGATCATGGCAGATATCTGGGCCCAATAGGACAAGCTTCCTTGGAAGAACCAAGAGAAGCTGGACAAATACTGGTCTCAGCAGATTGAGGAGAGCACCACAGTGGTCACCACGCAGTCCGCCGAGGTTGGAGCTGCTGAGATGACACTCACAGACCTGAAACAAACAGTCCAGTCCTTGGAGATCGACCTGGACTCCATGAGAAATCTAAAGGCCAGCTTGGAGCACAGCCCGAGGGAGCTAGAGGCTTGCTACACCCTGCAGATGGAGCAGCTCAACAAGATCCTGCTGCACCTGGAATCAGAGCTCCCACGGACCCGGGCAGAGGGACAGCGCCAGGTACAGGAGCAGGAGGCCCTGCTGAACATCAAGGTCAAGCTGGAGGCTGAGATCGCCACCTACCATCGCCTGCTGGAAGATGGCAAGGACTTCAATCTTGGTGATGTCCTGGACAGCCGCAACTCCATGCAAACCATCGAAAAGACCACCATCAGCTGGATAGTGGATGGCAAAGTGGTATCTGAGACCAACACCACCAAAATTCTGAGGCATTAAGCCAGTAGAAGCAGGGACCCTTTGGGGAGCAGGAGGCCAATAAAAAGTTCAGAGGTTAAAAAAAAGAGAGAGAGAGAGAGAGAGAGCAGAATATGAGACTCTTGCAAGCAATCCAGAAAGGGAGAAATGAAGACCAGAGATGGAAGTTTGGGAGAAAGGAGGAGAGTGGAGCAGCGAGCACTGGGAGGTTGTTGTATAGCCTGATGTGATTATTTTCCATGTTCCCAATTCCTCAGGAAATTAAAGCAAACCCATAAAACGCTTGGAGAACATGCGTATTTTATGGAAAGTGATGAAGGGATAGAATTTTGGCTTGTCAAGGGGGAAAACAGAGGAAACACACATGAATGCAAGTGCTGTAGGCAGAATGGCCATGAAAGATACCAGCCCTTGGGGATCTGCAGAAAACATGAGGAGTTTCAAAACCTAACCATGTCTGGATTTGGGGGTTCAAGCCAAAGGGCAGGATGTCTCAACAATCATCTGGGTTATAAGTGTTTATTCATTTGGTAGTAGGCAAATGACTCCTGCCTTCCCATATTGATGATAAATCCCATGAGTAGAGTCCATGCTGTCTCTCCTATCTCAAATTCCCTCACACTGGGTCAAGCTCAAAGTAACTATATCCCTTGCCTCTCCACTTTCTATTGCCCTCTCCATATCAATGTTGGGCTGTTAACTGATACAATTTTGCTTTTATCAGGTCGGTTTCCAGATCTATAGAAGAAGAAGGAAAAAGAGGAGATGGGAAGAGGAGGGCCCTGTTATTGCTCTCCACATGTTAAAATCCTGATGGTGGCCAGATTCCTTCGTTATCTGGCTTCATTTCATTTATCTAACCTCATCTGCTTTTGCCCACATGGTTCTCCTTTCCAGGAATATTGAGTTCCTCTCTGTCTACTCACATAGCATGAAGAGTTTCTTGTCAGTGTCTAGCAAGAGACAGAGTTCCTCCAAGAAACCTATTTGACTCCCAATTACCAGTTACCTATCTTTCACACTTTTAATTGCATTTATATTTAGTAATATGTCCCATGACATTCATTATTCTTCTCTTGGTGATTTTTTGATGGCCAGTCTTCTCATAATCAGCTTGAGGACTAAAATAGTGATTTGCAGTTTTCATGTAGTAGGTACTTAGTACTCACTCAGTGTTTTGTAAGTCCCTTCCCTAAATGAGTTCACCAAGGTCAGGGGCTTTGTTTTGTTTCCTACTCTTTGCCCAAAGCTAGAACTTGCCTAGAAAACAGTGGGTACTCAGTGAATATTTATTGAATGAATTAATGAATTTCTTGAATGAATTAATGAATACTGAATTAATGAATGCCAACCTTTATGAAATACAGCAGTGCAGAACAATATGTCCTTCTTTGTCTTTCCCACATATTATTTCAGACTTTTTCATCTCTCCCTTAACTCTCTTATAACTCCTTTGTTGAATTTCTCAGCCTTTTAGCTCCTTGAGTGTAGTATCAGTCACTCTTAAAGCATTGCACTTATTTCAAATCACATTTGTGTCAAGTTTAATCCATTTATGCTGAAAGAGAAAACAGGGTAGCCATGTAGATGTGTGGGCTGTTCCTTCATGCCTACACTCCCTTGAGTGTATCTCAACACAGAAAACATGGGAATTGGGCATGTCTGTAGCAAAATGGAATCTCTCTAGAGAGGTACTATTTTCATAAATGGAAATGTTCACTATCATAAAGATATCAGTAATACTCAAATTCATATATAAAAATCTGTTCTAAGTCCAATCAAAATCCCTACAGAGAATTTTATTTAGTGAAAGTTAATAATTGATTCCAGAATTCACTTGGAACAGAAGGTGGTGAAAAGCCAAGGCAGTTTTAAAGAAGAATGAAGGAAAGGCAGTTTAGTTATTAATATATCAGAATTTATTGCGAAGCCATATTAATTAATTCAAAGTAATGTTAGTGTAGGAATAGACAAACACACTACTTAAACAGAACAGAGGGCCCAACATACATTTTTATATCTACGAAAGTGACACTACAAATTAGTATGGGGCTGGTGGGCACAGTGGCTGTTGCCTGTAATCCCAGCACTTTGGGAGGCAGAGGTGGAAGAATTGCTTAAACCCAGTCATTTAAGACCATCTTGGGAAGCACAGTAAGACTTTGTCTCTAGGAAAAATAAAAAGTTAGCTGAGTATGGTGGCATGCACCTGCAGTCCCAACTATTTGGGAGGTGGGAGGATCAGGATCACTTGAACCAAGGAGTTTGAGACTTCAGTGAGTATGATCATGCCACTGCACTCCAGCCAGGGCAACAGAGTGAGACCCCATTTCTAAACAAACAAAAAAATGAGCATGGAATATCAGGTTGGAAAAAATTGTGCTATAACAATTGACTAACTGTATAAAACAAAAGTGTATTTACTATATTATATACAAAAATAAAAAATGAATTTCAGGTGGATTAATAACACAAATGTAAAAAGCAGAAACTATAAATACATTCAAGAAAAATGCAGAATATTTTTAAGGCTTCAGATAGGGAAACAGTTCTAAACAACACAGAAAATGCATAAACCATAAAGAAAAAAGATGAATAAATTTGACTACATTAAAATTTAAAGCTTATTTATAAAAAGATATCATAAAAAAGCTAAAAGGCAAGTCACAGACTGAGAGAAGATATTTCAAACCATTTATCTTACCAAGAATTGTATCAGGGAATATATATTTTTTAAACTTAATAAGAAAAAGACAAGAATTAAATGGAAAAAAATGGGCAAGGATATGAATAGGCAATTCACAGAAACAGAAAAACAAATTATCATTTGTGTTATTCTCTACTAGTATCCAGAAAACTACAATATCTAATGAAGTCTAGAATGCAGAGCCTCTATTTTATTGCCATTCTTTTTTAAGGTATATATGTGTGTTAGAAAAACTCTTTTATATGTGAACAAGTAGTTACATCTCCAGAAGATTGTGATGGTAAAAAGTTGGAAAAACCCCAAATTCTCACTAACAAAGGAATAGATAAATAACTTGCAGCATTTAAAAAAAATCTGTTAAAAGTAAACTAATTAGGGCTATGTGAATCAATATGAATATACCTCGAAAAACATAATTTGAAGAAAGCAAATTGAGTGTATACAGCATTATACCATTTCCATAAAGTTTGAAAACACACAAAACAATATTTTCTATCATTGAAGGACATATGTTGTATAGTATAACAGACTGGATTCCCAAAAAAGTAAGTTCTAACATAGAGATTATCAAGCAAGAAGTTCTTTAGTGAGTGATTTTGGGAACAACATCTTGTGGAAAGGAGGTGAAGAAGAACTGTACAGAAGGGAGCTTAGGCTGCGATGCAGACCTAACAAAGACCCCATTCAACCCCTCTAGAGGCCTCTGAAACTGGAATTACCCTTCAGAATTGTCTTGAGTCGAGGTGATGGCCCTTGCCTTTATAGCCCTGCAATGATGGGTCACTGGATGACAGGAAAATGTATGAACTGGGGGAAGGCAGCTCTCCTCTGTCTCCGTGTAGTCATTAGGAACATTCAACACCAATATTCTGTTATTCTTCTAGAAATACGGTAGCATTATACTTTCTCATGTCCTTTAAGTTAGAGTTGGCCAATGCATGGGTCAGCTCTAGGTAGAAGCTTTTAATAGTTTGAAAGTAATTCTCCAAATGTCCTTCCCACTACCCTGGTGATCTGTGACATTCTAGGTGGTAGAAGCTCTTCCAGCTGCATTTCTCAGTGAAGATAATGTGGATCGGTGCATTCAGCCATCCTCTAATCAACATGAGGCATGAGCAAAAAGTAAACATTTTCTTTTGTACATCACTGATATACTGGGGTTATTTGTCACTGCAGCATTACCTCCATGTGTAGACTGATACCACCTTTTGATTCCAAGTGTCACTTTTACCGTCTTTGATTTCTCTTCTTACTTCTTGCCATATCTATTTACTTAACATTCTTTTTTTGTCTTGTTCAAGATCAGGATTTCACAAAGTGTGTTCTGTAGAAAACTAGTCATGTGAGCTGCTCTCCAAAATCATGGTTTTTATGGTCAACTAAGTAGGAAACCGCATGCTTTATCACTCTCTCAGGGATTTATAATTGCTCGTTAGCATACTAAATTTCGTAAGCAGTCTTTCCATTAGAAAACCTGTATTAACTAATTTTAATCTTCCATTTCACAAACTCATTTGACTATGGAACCCTAAAAATAACATCTATTGACATCTGACAGAGAAACACATTTTTGGAAAGTATGCCCTAAGCATTTTTCCACTTTTCATTGCAAATTAAACACATCCCGCAGATCTAGTTGGAAGGGAAGAGAATGGACCTGGGACTTATTTACAATGGCTCCAAGAATGAACAGCCTTACTACAGGCATAAAATTTCAATATAATTGACTTGTAAAGAAACTATTCAATTAACTTCAAAATCAATCAGCACACATGTGAATATAGAGAATGTGAAACATAAATACGTATGTATTGGTTAAGGGGTCCTTAATTACCTAACGCTGGCAATATGTTTGCAATGATAACATGCAGACGAATAAAAAGCAAAACAGTAAACGTTAGAAATGAGTGAGTATAGACAGAAACTTGAGGTTGTCTAAGATCACATAGGGAGTACAGAGTTAGTAGTAACTACATTCCATATGTTGGATCTCAGAATCAAAGATTCACTGATCACACATCTTTCTTTGATATTATTCTGAATCTCTTGAAGTGTGATGTATAACAACTTGAATCTTAAGCACAAACAATTAGGATAATTAGCATCTCTGTATATTTCCATGATGGCATCAGACAACAAAAGGAAACTTGCCAATTTCCCAATCAGGCAAAGTCCAAAAGACACTTTCCTGCCTGCCTGCCTTATTATTGCAGCAAATTATAGCACCCTTTGCTGGCTGAGAAAATAGCCACTCAGAATGAGGAGGCAGGGCAGACGGCTGTCTGTGCCTTTAGAAAATGCTTGTTTATTTTTTAAAGAATTTAATATTTAACTCATCTAATATCTAAAGAATTTAGACAAGAGTTAAAGAATTACTTTTTTTTAAAATGAAAACTCTACATTTTAATAAATTGGAGTGGTTGACAACCTGGAATGGATGGAGCAGAATGTTGCATAATCTCTAATCTCTTCCTACTTCTTTTTATATGTTTTGAATGAAAAAAGAATTATTTTAGTTGACAGGAAGAAAAGACTTCAATGGAACACAAGACTACCAAGGTTTTATCTTTGTTTGCATGCATAAAAGCTTGAGATTGGAATAAAATTCTTAGTGTAATGTATTAGAGACTCAGAATCCAGATATTTTGGGAGTAGATGGCTCAGCAAAAACATAGATTACTTTTAGACCCAATCTATTATTTATTATTTCAGTTTATAAAAAATGCACCCAATGCATCTTCGGGATGAAGAGTTCAAAGTCATTGTGATTGTGTAGTTGGCTTATCTCTCGCATATAGAAATCTGCATATTTTATGTTGACTTGAAGTTGTGTTCTTTGAGAGATTGTCATGCCGTAAAGACAAAAAGATGTTAAAGAATAAAATTCACAGTGTCATCATAGATATATTAATTACTTTTAAGTTACATATCACACAACGATTTCCTGTCAATAGAGGTTTTAGTTAAATTATGAGGAATGGCTGCTGAGATTTGTAGTGGGGCATCATTTTTCATCTCTATAGTTAATCATTTCTATTGTCTTGAAGTCAGAATAAAAAACCCTCCGCAGAGTTCAAAGTGTGAAACCCATACTTAGAAAATTAAGTAATTACAGTTTTTTAATGTCATCCGTGTTTACATGAAATTGTCATTTCTAACACTTGCTCTTCTTCCTCCCTTTAGAGCTTACAACTTCCCTCCCTGACCCCACTTCTGACACATTTTGGTTTGCCAAATAGACTCAATTTCCAATTTGATAAAGAAAATGGTTATGCTCAGCTCAAAAGATTCCTACATTGTTTTAGTTGGAGATTGATAATGATTCTTTCAAAGTTCTAATTTTGATTCTGTGAGTCTCCTTCCTAAAATAATTCATAATGCTGAGAAACAGCATTTCTTATATTAAAATTTAATTTCAAGTGCCACATTTAATTGAAAAAATATTACTTTGAAATCATTCTGTTTTCACTTAAAATATACTGTATATAAGCAGATAAAGAAAATTAAGCTGTCTTTAAAAAGCTCTGTTATAGATACCTACATACATAAATATTCAAATCTTAAGTCAAGTTTTGTTTTCTGCTTGGTTTTTTGTTGTTTCTTGTGTAATTATACGTATCTGGTGGGTTGCATCTATTTTTAAGTAAAGTAGAAACAATCAAAATCTAGCTATGTACTAAATACCTTGTATTGCTCTTTTTATTATTAAAGGTGAAAGACTTTAATACAGTCATAAATTCATAAATGTTGCATCACTTGGCAAACTTCTATCAAGTTAGGCAACATTTAATTATTAAGCTAACTAGACAAATGAATGAGATGCCAATTAAAGCCCCAGCAAACAGCCAATCTCCATTCCTGGTTTATAATTTAATGTCCACCAAACAAGTCAAATAAAGGTCACCTCACATCTGCACATTTAGGAAAGGAATCTGCCGGTTGAATCAGCATCACTAGATCTAAACCTGAATATTTTAAAAAGTATATCAAACAAACAAATATGCTCAAAACTCCATAGAGTGAGATTTCAAAAATGTCAAATATATAAGATTAGTTACTTAGAAAAGTACATTTCACATTTTTCTGCAAAAAGTGAAAGCAAAGCAGTATTTTCAAATAGCAGGTAAATAGATGTTTGTGGTAAATAGAATTTTATTTCTTAAAATACTGTATTACCAACTCAACATTGCTGTAAGGCGTAAATAGGATGAATAAAGCTGTATGGTACAGAAATAGACTCTTGAAATTGAGTTCAAGTTTTATGTTGCTCATCATATGAATGTGAATTTTGAATGCTTAATCTCAACAAGCTACTTATCATGGAACCCTTAATGAAATACTGGTTTCAAACGGTTTTTAGGACATAAACGAATAAAGAACCAGGGATCTTATTACCTATTACAATAAAGTGTTTCTGAAGGTACTTTGTATCTTTCAACCTCTAGTTGATAAAGATGACTGCCCACCTTCCAGAAGAAGGCTGCATGAGTTCCTATGAGGCTGTCCAACTAGAGATTTCAAGAGCCAAATTCATGTCATATCAAACACTGCTCCTACTTTCTCTGCATTGCCTTCAGGAAAGCATAAAGCAATCCACAGGCTATTGTGAATTCTTAACTGCCCAAAGTATAAGAAAGAAGAATTGAAAGGACCAGGTACATTTTCTCTAAGATTTCAACTCTGTATTATGTTTGTAAATAGAATTTAATACGAGTGAAAAATTGGATTAGTCTTTTTCACCTGGTTAATTAAGACAACTTTAGGATAGAAGGGTTATTTACATTTACTGAATTAATTAGCTAGTGAAACATACCTTTTCAGGGAAGCCAATCACTATGCTAGGCACATAAAATGGCCATGATAGTGATAGTCCATATCCCCTGTATCCATGCTATTAGCAATGAGAGTTCACAGATCTGTTCATCAAGAAGTGGAATCTATATACCTTTTCAGGGAAGCCAATCACTATGCTAGGCACATAAAATGGCCATGATAGTGATAGTCCATATCCCCTGTATCCATGCTATTAGCAATGAGAGTTCACAGATCTGTTCATCAAGAAGTGGAATCTATCTCTTCATCCCTTTAATTGGGGCTTACCTTGTGATTTGTTTTGACCAATAGAATGTGGCAGAAATAATGATGTGGCAGTACCCAGAATAGAACTTAAGAAACTTTCTCCTTTCTCCTTTGGGACTCCTTTCTCTGTCATGTGAACAAGTCTTGGCTTCCTAGCTAGGGGATAACACCACAAGGACCAGAACTAAGTCAACCCAGTTATGCTACCAGAGGCCCCAGATACATGAAAGAGCCCGGCCAAGATCAACAGATCTGACCTAAAGCTGATTTATAGCCGACCGCAGACACAGGCAGGAGCCCAGCTGAGATCAGAGCAACTGTCCAGCTGAGCTCAGCCTAAATTGCCATGAACCAAATAGCTGATATAAATATATTGTAGTCTCATAATACTCCACTGTTCTCAATTAACACTGTGGTACCTGATATGAGTCAAGAAATTCAGAGCCTGGAGACATGAACACATTAAGCCACATTCCTATGTGGACTATCATCTTTAGATTATCTCTTGGACACATTGCAAGTCTGTGCCTGAATCAAACTTTATAGTCACTGCCTTTCAGTAACTTTAAACATTATTTATTATATAAAATCATTTACAGGCTAGGTACAGTGACTTACACCTGTGGTCCCAGCATTTTGGGAGACCAGGGCAGGCAGATCACCTGAGCCTATGAGTTAGAAACCAGCCTGGGCAGCATAGTGAAATCCTGTTTCTACAAAAAATACAAAAATGTCAGGTATAATGGTGCATGCCTGTAATCCCAGCTACTCAGGAGGCTGAGGTGAGAAGATCGCTTGAGGCCAGGAGTTTTAGGCTGCAGTGAGCTGTGGTAGTGCCACTGCACTCCAGCCTGAGAGACAGAGCCAGACCTTGTCTCAAACCATCCTCTTTAACACTTACATTACTATGTAGAACTATACAAAAAGTGTGTTTATGCATGATTGATTTGTTTTTTTTTATATATTAAACAACTTAAAGGTGAGAACCAAAAAGAAATGAGCCTAACAAGCTTTATATAGTCACTAAAAAACAGAAAATAGTGCAGAAAGTGATATGTGTATATGATATTAGGAATTATCATAAATTATCCCTCGTATCTGGGCATTTCAGATCTGTCAAGAATCAATCAATAGAGATGTGGCCAATAATGAGTAAGAAGATCGAATCAGTGATGAAAGGTTTCACATCAAAGAAAAGTCCAGGTCCTGGTGGCTTCACTGCTGAATTTGACCAAATATTTAAAGAACTAATACTAATCTTTATTTAAAGAATTAATACCTATCTTTCTGAAACTCTCAAAACATAATACCAAAATGTGAATTATTCCTGGATGCAAGGTAGTGTCAACACATGCAAATCAATATGTGACACATCACATTTACAGAATGAAGGAGAAAAGCCATATGATCATCTCAGTAGATACAGAAAGAGCATTTGACAAAATTCAGCATTCTTTCAGCATAAAAACTCTCAACAAATTAAGTACAGAATGAATGCACCTGAACACAGTAAAGGCCATGTATGACAAGCCCACACCTAACATTTTACCTGATAGTGAAAAGTTGAAAGCTTTTTCTTTAAAGTCAGGAACAAGATAAAGATGCTCACTTTTGCCACTGCTTTCACCATAGTGCTGGAAATCCTAGCCATAATAACTAGGCAAGAGAAAGAAATGAGTCATCCAGATATGAAATGAAGAAGTGAAATTGTCTGTTGCAGACATGATATTATGTACAGAAAACCCTGAAGTCTCCAAGTTACAATAAATGAATTCAGTAAAGTTGCAGGAAAACAAATTAACCTACAAAAATAAGTACTGTTTTAGTACACTTACAATGAACTATTCAAAAGGGAAATCAAGAAAATTTCTTGTTTACAATAGCTACAAATAAATATTTAATAATAAATTTAGTCAAGGATGTAAAATACCTGTACACTGCAAGCTCTAAACCATTGATGAAAGAAATTGAAGAAACAAATAAATGGCAAGATAATTTGTGTTCAATGATGGTAAGAATTAATATTGTCAAAATGTCCATACTATGCAAGGCAATGTACAGATTCAATCCAATCTGTATCAAAATTCCAATGAAATGTTTAACTGAAATAGAAAAAAAGAGTCCTAAAATTTGTATGGAATCACAAAAAATCCTGAAGAGCCAGAGCAATCTTAAGCAAAAAGAACAAAGCTGGAGGCATCACACCACTTGATTTCAAAATATATTCCAAAATTATACTAATCAAAACAGCATGGTACTGGCATAAAAACACAGACTACTTGATTTCAAAATATATTACAAAGTTACAGCAATCAAAACAGCATGGCACTGGCATAAAAACAGACACATCACCCAGTGGAACAGAATCAGAGAAGGGCAACCATAAATAAATCCATGCCATTACAGTCAGTTCATTTTTGACAAAGATGAAAAGAACACACAGTGGGGAAGGAACAAGTTCTTCAACAGACATTTTGGAGAAACTCAATATTCACATGCAGAATAATGAAATTAGATCCTTATCTCATACTGTACACAAAAATTAACTCAAGATGGATTAAAAACGTAAACATCAGACCTAAAACTATAAAATTGCTAGGAGAAAACACAGGAGAAAAGTTCTATAATGTTGGTTTTGCATAGCCAACCAAACCAAAAATAGACAAATAGGATCAAAGCATACTAAAAAGCTTCTGCTCTGTGAAGGAAACAACCAGCAGAATGAAGAGACAACCTATAGAATGTGAGAAAATATTTCAAACTATGCATCTGATAAGGAGTTAATATCTAAAATATATAAGGTACTCAAACAACTTAACAGCAACAAAGCAAATAACCTAATTTAAACATGGGCAAAGAACTTGAGTGATATTTCTCAAAGGAAGACATACAAACAGCCAACACGTATATGAAACAATGCGCAATACCACTAATTATCAGGGAAATGCAAATTAGATCTACAATGAGCTATCACTTCATGTATGTTAGAATGGCTGTTATCAAAAAGTCAGAAGATAACAAGTATTAGGGAGGATGTGGAGAAAAGAGAGCTTTTGCATGCCGTTAGTGGGAATGTTAAGTTAATACAGTTATGGAAAACAGTAAGGAAATTCCTCAAAAAATTAAAATAGAGCTATATGATCCAGCAATCCCACCACTGAGTACATACACAAAGAGAATTATATCGTATGTTGAAGAGATATCTGCACTTCCATATTAATTATAGCATTATTCCCAATAACAAAATACAGAATCAACCTAAGTACTCATAAAGGATGAATGGATTTTTAAAAATGTTTTGTGTATATATATATATGTATATATTATATATATATGTAT